GCCTGCATTGTTTCCTCGAAAGAAAGCATCTTAGTATATCAAGATTATGTTCTAATTTTAGAATCTTGGAAGTCAGGAATTTCTTCCAACAATGTTTGATGTACTTTATTGATGACTTTGCCCAGAATTACTTGTATTGTTTGAAAATGTTTCTGATTTCTGCACATCGTTTGGAAATATCCCAACTTCTTGCACAAGTGATATTCTTGTGATAAAGTTGGACATACAAAGATATTAGTCAGAAGCAGAAATTGGCTATTTGGCCCCTTGAACCCATTCAATAGATCATGGTTGGTTTGCTCATGTCATATGCTCCATATTCCCAGTTAGCCTTATAACCAATAATCTTTCATTCCCTTGCCTATCAAGAATTGATCTACTTCTGCCTTAACAACATGCAAGGACTCTGCTTCTACTGTCTTCTGACATAGGGGATCCAAAGTCGCACAAGACTTTGGAAAGAAAAAAATCTTTTTACCTCTGTCTTGAAAGATTGACCACTAATTTTAAAACAGTGTTCCCTAGTTCTATATTCACCAACAAGGATAAACAATTTTTCCATTTTGTCAAGACTGTTCAGGGTCTTATACACTTCAACCAAGTCACCTCCCACTCTTCTAAACTCCAGTGTAAACAAACCTAACCTGTGCAACCTATCCTCATAAGACAATTTGCTCATTCCAGGTATCAATCTAGCAAACCTTCTCTGAACTGTCTCTATGCAACTACATAATTCCTTGAAGAAAGAGACAAAAACTGCAGATGTTGCTCGATATGCAGTCTTGCCAATGCCCTGTATAACTGAAGCACAACATGCTTACTTTTGTGTTCAATTTCTCTTGTAACATGAGATGACATTTCAATAACCTTCTTAATTGCCTGCATACTAATTTTATGTGACTCATTCACTCGAACGCCTAGATCCCTCAGCTCCTTGCAATTTTGCCATCTTAGAGAGTCATACAGCATGGAAACAGCCCATTTAGTCCCATGGCCCAGATGCCCCAGTGTTTCCTCTTCTAATGGTTATCCCTCACTCCCAGGTGAGTTAGTCAGCTGGCACCACAGGCTCAAGGGGCCGAAAGGCCTACTCCTTATTTCTTATGTTAAGAGATAGGTGGACAAAGGCCCCTGATTTTTAACTTGACCCATCCGGGTTAAAATGGCGAGGTGCAGATACACAACTTACTCTCCATTAGATTCTGTTGTCAACTGAAGAGGGATCTCTGCCCTGAACAGTGACAACACAAGCTCAGTATCACAGAAGGGACTAGGAGTGGAGGGGGGGCTACATTGGGTTAGGGCTACTGTGCAGATGACCTCCTGGAGACCCATGGACCTTAAGGTCTTCTTTATCCCATTACAAAATGTAGAGATTCCCCATCTGTATTTTGCTATGGGCATCACACCACAGAGTAGATATTGGGAGGTTGTTCTCCCCTCCTGGCTGGGAACCTGGAAAACAGTCTCAGGATAAAGGGCATTCCCTTGGGACTGAAATAAGGAAAAAGTTCTTTACTCACAGTTGTGAATCTTAGGAATCCTCCAATTCAGAGGGTTGTTGGTGCTCCATCATTTCAGTATGTTTAAGGCTGTGATGTACAGGTTTTTGGGTCTTTTAGCAAATCAAAGGATATGGGGAGCAGGCTGGCAAAAGCGGTTCAGATCTACAGTCAACCACAGATATATTAAATAGTGGAACCAGGCTTGACACGTCACAGGGTCTACTCCTGCTCCCACTTATATCACAAACAAAGGATAAATTGGCCTTGGAACCTTGTGATTTGTCAGAACAGGTCTAGACAGGGTAACCATAGAAAGGATGTTGCTGATGACTGGGGAGTCCAGAACCAGGGATCACTGTCTAAGGATATGGGGTAGGTCATTCAGGGACTGAGATGAGAACCAAAGTCTTCATCCAGAGAATGGTGATCATGTGGAATTGTCTGCCACAGAAAATTTTCAAGAAGGCATTAAATGTACTTCTTAGCATTATAAGGATCAGAAGGTATGAGGAGAAGTAGGAATAAGATAGTGAGTTGGATGAACAACCCGGATCACATTGAATGGTGGAGCAAGCTCAAAGGACCAAATGGCTTAGTCCTTCTCCTATTTTCTATGTTTCTCCTAGGGATACAAGATCAAAAGGTGCACTTATGAGGCCAGGTCGCAACGACTAGGTTTGTATTCCCTTGGATGTATGAAATTAAAGGGTGATCTGATTGAGGTATTTCAGATGATTAAAGGATTTGGTAGCATAGACAAGGAGAGAAACTATTTCCTTTGTTTTGAGGGAGACACAAGGCTCAAGACACCAGAACAAGAGATTATAACCTGAAAACAAGAGCTCAACTGTTCAGGGGTGATGCCCAGAAACATTTCTTCCTGCAAAGGGGCGTAGAAATCTGGAACTGTCTGGAATAAAACAGTTGAGGTTGGTATGCTTTGAAGGATGGGAAGGATTGGGTTGTTTTGCAGGACAGCAATAGGAATTGAAAATTGTGCAAATTGAGATCGATAGATTTTTGTTGGGTAAGAGTTGTGAAACCAAGTTAGCGAATGGAATTAAGAATCGGATCTCCCCATGTCTAATTGAAAGGCAAAACATGTTCAGTGGCCTCCTGTCTCTCTCTGTCTTTCTCTTCACTTCCGCTGAAATTTACTATACCACTTTTTTAAAGAAGTCAATTCTCCTGAATCATTCTCCATAACAATAATACTCTGCTTTTTCACTCTTCCTGCCAAATGGAAAAACTTCACATTTTCCAACATTATACTGCATTGCCTAGATTTTTGACCATTCATTTAAAATATCTATATCTGCTTGCAACCTCCCTATTTCCTCTTCACAACATACTTTCCTGCCTTGGTTACTATGCCTTTACTCATTCATGTTTTGGTTTCGATCCCAATACCAAGTAATTGACATCAGATTGTCAAAGTTTGAGGACACAGCACAGACCCCTGAGTCATACAACATGGAAACAGACCCTTCGGTCCAACCAGTTCATGCCGAACATAATCCCAAACTAAACCAGTCCTACCTGCCTGCTCCTGGCCCATATCCCTCCTTACCTTTCCTATTCATGTATCTATCCAAATAAATGCTGTATTTGTAACCACATCCACCACTTCCTCAGGAAGTTTATTCCACACATGAACCAACCTCTGTATAAAAGATTTGCCTCTTAAAATCCCTCCTCTCACCTTAAAATGTGCCCCCTGGATCTTGAAATCCCCCATTCTAGGGAAAAGACAACTACCATTAACTCTATCTATACCTCTCATTATTTTATAAACTTCTATTGGGTTATCTCTCTACCACCTACGCTCCAGTGAGAAAAGTCCCAGACTACTCAGCTTTTCTTTGTAGTTCAAGCCTTCCATATCTGGTAACATCCTAGTAAATCTCGTCTGAGCCCTCTCCAGCTTGATAATATCCTCCCTATAACTGGGCAACCAGAACTGGACACAGTATTCCAGAAGAGGCCTCACCAATGTCCTGTACAACCTCAACATGACTTCCCAGCTCCTATACTCAAAGGACTGAGCAATGAAGGCAAGCATGCCAAACGACTTTAACTACCCTGTGTATATGTGGTGCAAACCTCAAACAATTATGTACCTGTACCTCTAGGTCCCTCTGTTTTACCACACTACTCGAGGCCCTACCATTAATTGTATAAGCCCTACCTTTGTTTGTTATACCAAAATGCAATACCTCACACTTTGACCAGATTGAACTCCATCTGCCATTTCTCAGCCCATTGACCCAATTGATCACGATCCCTTTTGTAATCTTAGAAAACTTTCTTCACTGTGTACTATGCCACAAATTTTGGTGGTCATCCACAAACTTACTAACCATGCCTTCTATATTCTCATATAAATCATTTATATAAATGACAAACAAAAGAGGACCCAGAACCAATCTTTATGGAACACTGCTGGTCACAGGCCTCCAATCCGAAAAGCAACCCTTTCTATCTCCTGCCATTAAGCCAATTGTGTATCCAATTGATAAGCTCACCCTGAATCCCATGTGACCTAACTTTACTAATTAGTCAACCATGTGGAACCTTGTCAAACGCTTTACTAAAATCCAAATAAACAATGCCTTCTGCTCTGCCATCATCAACTTTTTGGTAACTTCCTCAAAAAACTCAATCAAGTCTGTGAGATATGATTTTCCTCACACAAAACCATGCTGACTATCCCTAATCAGTCTCTCTGTATGTCCATAAATCCTATCTTTTATAATCACTTCCAACAATTAACCCACGACTGAAGTCAGACTCACAAGTCTATAGTTCCCCAATTTCTCCTTACAACCTTTCTTAAACAAAGGTACAATATTAGCCACCTCCAGTCATCAGGCACCTCACCTGTAGTTGTAGATGATGCAAATATTTCTGCAAGGGGTTCGTAATTTTCTCCCAAACTTCCTGAACTATAATGTGACTGCTTTTAAAACATCAAAGTGTATTTCTCTGCATTCTCTAGACTCCATTTCTTTCTCCATAGTAAAAACTGATGAGAAATATTCATTTAGTATCTCTCCCATCTCCTGGAGTTCAGCTCAAAGAGGACTTCCTTCATCTCTAGTTACCCTCTCATTCTTATTTAATTGTATGCATCATACAAATGCTCAAAATGGGGTAACCTATATGTCATCTGATGGGCCCTTTCAGTCAGTCCACTATTACTCTTCCCAGAATCTCTTTTCATTTCTGTAGCTTTTTGACATAATAGCCAATCACATTTTTAATTTGGTTATAATTCTTTTCACTAATACTACTTTCATTGTTTTAAAGTCAGTTTCTCTATGGATTATGTGTCAGTGTTTTATAATTTAATCTATGTTTTTGTGCTATTCAAGGCCACACCAATCCTTTCGTCAAGTAGGTGTACATGTCAGAGGCCCGATCCTCATTTCTTTTTTACCTTGTATTCCCTCATGTTTGTTACCTCCAAGGTAACATTCACTTTTGCACACTTACATCAGTGTCCTAAGACCATGTCACACATTCTTGACTCCCACATGATCTTATCAAATGATCTGTGAGGTTTTACTTATCTCTCCATGCATGATCCCGATGCCTTGGGTAGTGGCTTGATCACCAATTCAGCCTTCCTTAAAAAGACAGATAAGGACATAAACATCACTAAGAGAAAGCTATTAGTTTGGTGCCCTGATCTAAATTTCATTTTCATTAAAATGCATTTCAACCTCAATTGTTGTTTCAATGCATTATTCTATTTTTTTCTGTCTTCTGCTGCCAGTTTCTACCCTTAATTACTGCACCTCATCCAATTTTGCAACTTAACTATTACCACCTATCCAATTCCAGAGATCTGGAGAGATTTGCAGTCCATGGATCATAACCTTATAATATTTTAAAACAGAAATCAAACATTTCTGTTTGATTCAGGCAAAACATACTTTCTTTGTTCTTTCTCTAAGATGACCCACGTTTTTTAAAGTTACATTATAACTCATTCTAGATGTTTGATATATCTCTATAAATTTGTCCAAATTCAATATTCTGTTTACCCCTTCAAACTCAAATGCATTGAAACCACTGAGACTGTGTGCATGCACTTTATCATTTCCCAGAACCCCTTTAAATTTTCAGGTAACTATTCCATTTAAATGTTTTAGAATACCAGGGCATGTGAATCTTAATATAGTTTTTGTCATGATATACGTAAGTGTATCCAGGCTCAGTGGTTTTGAGATTCCTGACACTCAATACATTTAGTGTTTACATAGTACTTTCCCAACACTGAAATGTGTTATTGCTGAATGGCTTGATAGATTGAGGGTGCCTCATCCATCACTGTGTTGTGATGTTGAAAGTCTGCAAACAGGGTCAGCATTCATTGACTCCAATTTCTAAAAATAAACGACCTCCATCCATTCCACATCAAGCAGAATGGGTTAATTAGTATTAATCTAATATGGTTTCAAAAAAGGGGTGGGGCCAAGTCTTGTACAAAATTACATCATCCTCCTCCTCTAAGGAAATAAGTGTGTTGAACTTTTTAGCAAAGGAAAAGCCCACCTCCTTTGTTAAATTCTCCTTTTTTAAACTCCTCGCCCACAGAGATGCCCACAACATCCCAATTTCCCTATCACTTAGATAGTTTTACGCCAAAGTACGTTGACAATGAGTCAATCTTCTCATCCAGAATTAAAGATTCACTCGTATTAAACCAGTATTTGGAAGTTCATTCTGGCCAGAAAATGAAATTGCAAACATGGTAATTTCTAGAATTAAAATTTACCCAAGCTTTACGAACCAACTTTTTTGAATCAACGTTTTGTTGCAGATTTTTGCTTTACACAACCACTGATGTCCTTTTAAGAAACCATTATATTAACTATACACGTTCCACACTGATACAGGCACACACCGTTCTTTCAAATCACCATACTTTCAAATCCCCAGACATTCCCAAAATGCAAACTAACTTCAAAGTATCCCCACATCTCGAGCTTCAGGGAACAAAAATACACGAATGGTACATGACAACATTTAGCAACCAATAAACAAAGGTGCACATGAACCAGACCATGAAGAGTTAACACTTCTATAAGGTTCAGTGCACTTGCACAGCACAGAAACCTGGCCTCCAGTTCTCTCTTTTTCCAATTATAACCATCCCCCATTGTTTTGGGGGTACTAATTGTGCTAGTATATCAGCTACAGACCTGAATTCAGAGACTGCCGCATTCCACCCTGGAACACAGAAGGTCTCCAGAGCATCAGGTTGCTTTTCCCTTCTCTTAAACATTTTCCCGAATCCCATCTTCATCGCCAAAAACGTCTTGGATCACCAAAATGTATCCAAACGGTTTTTTTTGGATTCGGTTAAATGTAGTTAAGAGAAGACTCGATAACATGAATTTACTTAAATATAAATGTTTATTAAGTAATAATGCAAAATGAAAAAGAAAGAGGTAAAAAGCAATAAGCCTCACGCCGTTCTACCCCTCGGGGACCCCTCAACCTGGAGCCTTAGGTTTGTTCCTGGCACCATTCACGATCCTGGTCCAAGATGAAGCCCAACAACTCGGAACAAAACAGTGTAACAAGCAGCCAGTACAGAAAAAACAAGTATAGATTGCGCTGTCTTTGGCACGTACAGGAATGTGACTTGCCCATCACAGGACATATTCAAGATCACACAACTGTCGAGTATCTTCAACAACTTTAGCCCTTTAGCCTATCCCATACACAAATTTACATCTGTAAAGGTATTGGTAGAACTTCCTGACTCCAAATATGACCAGCAAATCTTCCTTCTCTAACTGAGCGTATTTAAGTTTTGCATTTGCCAGAGTTCTAGATCCATATGCTATTAGGCATTCCTCTTCATTGGGCCAGCTATGAGCTAATACTACCCTGGTGCTGTACAGAGAGGCATTGCATGTCTCACTTGGGATCGTAGTGTGCCAACACCTTAAAGGATGATAGCTGTTTCTTCACTTCCCTGAAAGCTATGGCTTGTCTATGCGACCATTTCCAAGGTTGATCTTTTTTTTAAAAAGAGTTGATTGAAAGATGCCAGGATGGAGGCCAGGTTGTGTATGAATTTTCTGTAATAATTCACCAGCCCAAGGAAAGACCTAAGCTCTGGTACAAATGTGGGAGGCAGGACACCTTTGATCGCCCTCATTTTATCTTCCAATGGGTGTAACCCAGTGTTGTCAACTCTGTAGCCCAAATGGGTCACTTATGCCTGGGACACTTAACATTCCCTTCTAAGGTGTACACCTGCCTGGTAGAAACGTCTAAGGACTATGTCTAACTTCTCTAAGTGCTCCTTATTAGTCTTCCCGGTTATTAGCACATATCTAGATAAATAGTGACCTGGGGTACACCTTGTAAAATGTTCTCCGTCATCTGTTGAAAACTTGCACAGGCTGATGATACACCAAATAGCAGTCTCATATATTGGTACAAACTCTTATGAGTATTAATTGTAGCATACTCTGGGAATCCTCATCTAACTGCAACTGCAAGTACGCATGGCTCATGTCCAGCTTCGTGAAGGACAGCCCCTCTGCCAACATATAAATCCTCTACGTGAGGGATAGGGTATTTATCCAGCTGTGAAAAGCGGTTTAATATTTGTTTAAAATCCCCACAAAAGCAAATCAACCTATCGGGCTTCGCAATCGGTATGACTGGTGGTGCCCATTCCACACCAGTTTCCATCCTTCTGATTTCTGCCTCTACACTTGTACATAATCCAAATGGCACTGGGTGGGGGTGCCTTGTAGAATCGCAAAATTGCTTCCTTGTCAATATGCAAGGTAGCCTTGGCTCCCTTGCTATTCCCTAGAATTTCCTGAAAACCTTCCAGATATTTAATCAGGACTTCACTCATGCAGCCTAATTGAAAAATGTTGGGCATATCTAGGTGAATCTTTCTCAACCATTTTCACCCCATCAAGCTTGGACCTGAGCCTTTTACTACAATTATTGGTAACTGAACAAGCTGCTTCTCATAAGAGACCGGAAGCAGTCTGTAAAGGTTCCCCATTATAGGTTCTCAGTCTAGCCAAGATCTTGCGCAAACGTAAGGGTTGGAGTCCAGAGAGAATTTTGTTAATGACTAGTTCTGCGATCACTGAAACGACTGTGCTGTTATTGACCTCCAGAAGAACTGGGTGACTGTATAACTACACGTTTATTTTGATTGGTTCTGAGTTTGATGTTGCTAAGCAATTTAACTGTTTGAAATCAGATGTAGGTGGATTTTCCAGGGTGTGTACTCTACTAGATACTGGCCTAGGAGTTCTCTTACTCAATTTCAGTCTAGTGGGACTCTTTTGCTGTCTCTAGTCTGCATACCGACAGCAACTACAATGGCCTGCCAGCCCGGATCCTGAAGAAAATTTTAACTGTTTGCTTGAGCCTTGGCTCTATTTTGGGGTTCTGCTTTGGGCCAACCTATAGTCCCTCCATTCAAGATGTATCCTGAGTGAGGTTATGTGATTGCATTCACTCAAGTGGTGTTCACCACGTTCAGTTGGACAGGCAAGAATGTCCACTTCTATCGGAATACCCTGTAACTCATAAGCTCCACTTGCCACATTTTCCAATGATGAAGCCAGTTGTAGCACCTGTTTGAAGTCCATTTGGGCTTCAGCTAGTAGGCGCCTTTGCATGTTTAGATCATTAATCCCACATACAAAGCAGTTTCACAGCATCTCATTCAGGGTTATATCAAAGTCATATGACTCTTCCAGTCATTTTAACTTTGTCAAAAATCCCAATACAGATTCCCCTGGTTCTCGAATTGCCATGTAAAACTGATAGCGTCTCAGAATTAGAAGATGCTTGGGATCGTGATATGCCTTCACTAAATCCATCAACTCTTGAAAGGTTTTAGTATCTGGTGACTCCCACATGGACGTGACAGTCAAGAAGCCAAAACAATGCCTCTTCTTCCTCAGGCGGTTCTGGAAATTTGGCATGTCCATAAAGACCATCACCAACTTTTACAGATGCACCATTGAAAGTACACTGTCTGGGTACATAACAGCCTGGTATGGCAACTGCTCTGCCCAGGACCATAGAAAGTATACTAGGTGGTGTGCATAGCTCAGACCATCACAGAAGCAAACCTTCCATCCATGGACACCATGTACAAGTCTTGCTGCCGCAGAAAGGCTGCCAACATCATCAAAGACCCATCGCACCCCGGTAATGCTCTCCTACAACCTCTTCCATCAGGCAGAAGGTACAGAAGCCTGAATGTGTACCAGCAGGTTCAGGAACAGCTTCTTCCTGGCTGTTATTAGATGGATGTTTGGATTGTCTAACTTCAAATAATGCTGATCTTGCTAATGTTGATTTTGCCTAGCACATGCCCTGTGTGATGTAAGCTGTATGCCTCTTTTTTTTCATCCTATGATCTGTACGTCCTTGCTTACTGTGATCTGCCTTTACTGCTTGCAAACAAAGTTTTTCATTGTACTTAGGTACACATGACAATAAATAAATCAAATCCAATCAAAGACTCAGGGAAAGTTAGGCCAGAATAATAACCATAAAAGCTGCAGGTCCACAAGCTGTCAGGAGAGTTGCTTTTCATCTGCCCCAGTGTATTTGCCCAGCAAAAATAATGTATTCTTTCCACATAGAGGGCCCAGTGTTCAACGGCAGGTTTAAATGAGTCAAGCTTTCCAAATAATACTATGATGCCAGAAATGCTTACCCCTAACTCAAAGATGACTGTTGTGAGTGAATTTCTTCAGGAGTGTGCTTTTCTCTCGTCGCCACTGGGACAACACCATAGAAGCCAGTATCCCATCACCAAGTCGCCACCTATGTACACATGGAAAGTCGTTGACACTGATCCAGCTCCCTCAGAACCAGCTTTCAGAGCGAACAGCATCTCTGACACCCCTGTTTATATCTGTCAGCCAGGGCTCCCTGATTGGGGCTGCTAAGCTGGTCCAATCAGGGAAATCATGTTCTATGAGATCTACCTGACTGACCTCGTTCTAATCACTGAACATTCCATTCAGCTCCCTGATTATCTATGTGGGCTAGCTTCTTATGTTTTATGCACAAGTACCCCCAAGTCCATTATCTTGCAACTTTTGTCCATTTATGATACCTTGTTCTTTTGTTCTCCCTTCCAAAATGAACAACTTCACATTTTCCCACATTATACTTCATTTGCCAACTTTTGCCTACATAACGTCTCACTGTCTCTCTGCAAACTATTTATAGCCCTCTCACAACTTGCCTTTCAAGCTATTTTTATGTCATCTGCAAATTTGGCTACAGTACCTTTGCTTTCTTTCTCCAAGTCATTAATATATGTTGTAAACAATTGCAATCCCAGTGTTTATCCCCCTGTGGAACCCCTCTGGTTACAAGTCACCAACTTGAGAAAGAACCCATTATCCCCACTCACTGTTTCCCGCCCATCAGCCAATTGTCCATCCATGCCAATATACTATGTCCAACAACACCTTTTGTGAGGTACTTTTTTGAATTCCTCCTGGAAGTCCAAATGCAACATATCTACTGATTCCCTTCTGTCCACTCTGGTTGAGACTTCCTTGAAAAGCTCTAGCATGATTCCTAGCATGATTCAGGTGCAGTCTATCCCATCAGAACAGCTCCCTCCTTATCCAGTACTGTTGCTAATGTTCCAAGAATTTGAACACATTCAGAATCATAGAGTTGTACAGCACAGAAACAGATCCTTTTGTCCAATTTGTCCATGACGACCAGATATTCTAAATTAATCTAGACCCACTTGCCAGCATTTGGCTCATATCCCTCTAAACCCTTCCTTTTCATTTACCCATCCAGCTGCCTTTTAAATGTTGTAATTCTACCCGCCTCCACTACGTCCTCTGACAGCTCATTCCATGCACGCACCACCCTCTGCGTGAAAAAGTTTCCCCTTACGTCCCTTTTATATCTTTCCCCTCTCACCTTGAACCTATGTCCTCTAGTTTTCGACTCCCCGACCCTGGGGAAAAGACTTCAGCTATTCACCTTATCCATACCCTCATGATTTTATAAACCTCGACAAGATCAACCCTCAGCCTCCAATGCTCCAGGGAAAATAGGCTAGAATATTCCGCCTCCCTATAGCTCAAACCCTCCAACCCTGGCAATATTCTTGTAAATCATTTCTGCACGCTGACAAGTTTCACAACATCTTTCCTATAGTAGGGAGACCAGAATTGAATGCAGTATTCCTAAAGTGGCCTAACTGATGTCCTATACAGCCACAACATGACCTCCCAACTCCTATACTCAATGCACTGACCAATAAAGGCAAGTGTACCAAACACCTTCTTTACTACCCTGGCTACCTGTGACTCCACCTTCAAGCAACTATGAACTTGTACCTCAAGTTCTCTTTGTTTGGCAACTCTCCCCAGGACCCTACTATTAAGTCCTGCCCTGATCTGCCTTCCCAAAATGCAACATCTAACATTTATCTAATTAGAAATCCATCTGCTACTCCTCAGCCCATTGACCCATCTGATCAAGGTTCCATTGTACTCTGAGATAATGTTCTTCACTGACACCTACACCAGCAAATTTGGTGTCATCTGCAAACTTACTAACCACATCCTGCTATAGTCACATCCAAATCATTTATATAAATGACAAAAACCATTTCTCCCACACCAATCTTTGAGCCATGCATTTACATCTTTAATCTGATTGGCCTTGTACCAGTTACCTGGTGGCTTAGATAGTAGTCTGGAGATTATTACTTCTTTGCTTCTGCTTTTCAGTTTCACCCCTAGCTGCTCATAAAGGATGTAATAGCAGAGCATTTAGAGCTGCAAACTTAATCAAACAGTGTCAGAATAGCTTCATGAAGGGGAAATCATGCCATTCATTGAGGTAACAAGCAGGGTAGATAAAAAGGAATCAGTAGATGTAATATATTGGATATCCACAAGGTATCCAACAAGTCAAGGTGGTGGCGGAGTTGGACGCTTCAGCCGGAGCTTATCTGCTCCATCTGTTTTTTTTCTCTTTTTTTCCCTGTTTCTCTTTTGATGTGTTCTTTCTTCACTCCCAGCCACAGCGCAGACCCAGCAAGGGGCCCGTAGTGGTGTCTCGGTGGCATATAGGGGTCTCTCGGCCTGGCATGGTCTCTCGATGGCCCATGATGGTCTCTTAGACCAGTGGTGACTTGGCCCAGTCTCTCGGCAGCACATAGCAGTGTCTCGGCCTGGTCTCTCAGCAGCTTGTAGCGGTCTCTTAGCTTGGCATAGCGGTATCTCTGTGTGCGGGTGGGTCTGTAAAGGTAAAGCTTAACTTTTTAACTCTTTTTTTGTTAATACTTTGTACCAAAGTTTTGTGTACCTCGGTACCTTTGTACCTAAAATAAAGGCACATGTGACGATATTAAGCATTTTTCACTGTACTCCTGTATTTTTGTACTTGAGTACATGTGACTGTAAAATCTAAATCTAAGTACCACACATAAGGCTATTTACTAGAGCCCATGGTGTTTGGGGTAGTATATTAGCATGGATTGAGGATTTGCTAACTAGAAGAAGACAGAGTTGGGATGGCAACCTTTAACTAGTGGAGTGCTACTGTAATCAGTGCTGGGGACACAATGATTTACACTATATATTAATGACTTGGATAACGGAAGTAAATGTACTGTTGACCAGTTTGCAGATGACACAAAATAGGTGGGAAGGCAAGTATTGAGGATGATACAAGGAGTCTACAGAGGCAGATGGATGGATTTATTCAGTAGGCAAAAACCTTACAGATGGAACATAATGTGGAAAAAGGAGAAGTTATGCACTTTCTCAGGAAGAATAGAAGGCTGAACATTTTTTAAATGGAGAAACACAACATAGAGATTTGGACATCCTTGTGCATGAAACACAAAGAGCTAGCATCCAAATTCAGTGGGTACTGAAGGCAAATTAAATGTTGGCCTTTATTTCAAAGGGAATGAGTATAAAAGTAGGGAGGTCTTGTGATACAAGGCACTGGTCAGATCACAGCTGGAATATTGTGAAAGTTCGAGTCCCCTTATCTAAGGATATACTGGCATTGGAGGTACATGAGAGAAGGTTTACAAGGTTGTTTCCAGGCGTAGAAGGAATTTTTATGAGGAGAGGTTAAGTAGGTTGGGCTTGTACCCATTGGCATTTAGTAGAAGAAGAGGAAACCTTATAAAAACTTAAAATATTTTTAAGGGGATTGACAAGGTAGATACTGTGAGGGTGTTTTCCCTTGTTGGTAAGTTTAAGACCAGAGGACATAATCTCAGAGTAAAGAATTGCCAATTTTAGATGAGAAGAATGTTTTTTTTCTCTCACAGGCTGGTCAAGTCATTGAGTGTCTTTAAGACAAAGATACTTGATTACTAAGGGGATGAAAGATTATGGGGAGAAGGCACGAGAATGAGTTGAGAAACATATCAGCCATGATCAAATGACAAATCAGGCTTGATGGGCCATATGGACTAATTCTGCTCCTATATCTTACGGCCTTATAGACAGATTTTTAGTCAGTAAGGAAATCAAGGTTTACAGGGAAAAGGCACGAAAGAGGAGTTGAGAATTATCAGATGAGCCATGAAGGTGATCCTTATTGAATGATGAAGTGTACTCAATGGGCCAAATGGCCTACTTCTGCTCCTACATCTTATGGTCTTAGGATTTTTCTCAGACATCACTCTTAAGTGGTTTTCCCCTGTGCAAATGTGTTGATGGTCATGGAGGATCGATGACTGTTTTAATATCTCGCATCTGTTGTAAGGACGCACCTGACCCTCGAATGGTTTGTCCCATATTAATCCTTTGGTGCGTCAAGAGGGTGGAAATTAGTGTGGCAACCATGTCACAAACCTCACATTTTAAGGTTTTAACTGTGTTAATTTTCTGATGATCAGGAGAGTCTTGAGCTGTGTGAGGGCTTACTAACACATTTGACCAGTTTCTCACCAGTGAGAATGCATTGGTATATGTGGAGGCACAATAACCGTGAATGATTTGTTGCACAATACAAACATTAGTGTTCATAGAGGCACCATGAATGCAGAAAGAACTTGCTGCACACCTCACACGTGAACTGCTTCTCACCTGTGTATGTGTTGGTATACCCAGACAGTCAAGATGTTTGAAACTGATTGTTGTACGCTTTTTACATCAATGGTCTCTCCCAAGTGTGAATGTGATTGTTTGAAGTTGCAGTGAATACGAGATCGATATGCTGCACAATTTGCATGTGAATAGTTTCTCCCCTTTGTGACTGGTGATTCAACAAGCCCTGATGATTGTGCAAAGCCTTTGTTGCAAGCATGACACTCAAATGGTTTCACCCTGGTTTGGATGCAACATTGACTCACAAATATTGAATGTGTGAAGGCTCAGTTGCACATCTCACACTTGAAGGGTTTCTCTTCCATGTACCTTTCCTTGTATTCACAATTGTACAACATGTGAATCGTGTGTGTTAGAAGATCTTATGATATTTAGGGGAGGTGATGGTATTATTGCTGGACTGTTAATCCAGAGACCCAGGTAATGTTCTGGGGACCTGGGTTTGAATCATGCCATGCCAGATGGCAGAATTTGAATTGAATAAAAATCTGGAATTAAGAGTCTAATGAAGTCAGTGGAAGTGGAGCTTGATGAATGATTGAAACTTTCACCATGGTTGATTTCATTCTGGCCATCCAACATCTATTCTGATCTGTTGTAGGTGGAAAATTCTCCACAAATTAGTATTAAGCCTATTTAATGACTCAGATTTTACTGCTGTCTGGTAGATAAGAGGTTGTGATGTAGGAGAGAGGATGAGAATG